GGGAGTTTTCTTAGAAGTCCTTAATGTCAACTCCAGACCCCCATAAAGTCTAATGGCATCCAGTAAAACATGGGCAAGGAAATCTCCAGTTGATTACCACTTACTGCCGATGAATCAGAACTCCTCCATGTTGAGCACCACTTGAAGACAGCACGCATGGCAAGGGCACAGAATGTACTGAGTGAGGAACTTCAACAACAGTCGCTGGGTACTACTGACCAAGCTGACAGTGTTCCAGAGAATTTATTGGCTCAAATGGATCAGTACAGATCATGAAACAAACAACAAGATGAAGAAACCAACTTTATTTCATCTTCATAGATCTACCTGTCAGATGCATCGGTCCATGACAGTACTGGTAGAAGTGACCACAAATGGAGATAAAGCTCCTGTCTTCAAATTAAATGATACCGTCTATTGTATTGTGTGGTGCTAACACCATCCTAAAAAAGCTAGCTAATTGACCATCCGAGACACACTATGGGCCATTAACAGCAGAACTGTATGCAACCTACAATTCATAACCTCAGTCTAGCATAGTCCCCATTCTACCAGAACCATCAAGCCAGGGACTAATCCTGCTTTAACGAAGGATGCCGGAGGGCACGACAGGAGTAGCATCAAGCATACCGATTAAAAAAAGGTGTCAACTTGTTAACCTACAACAGGGAACGATTTGCATACCAACAGCATAAGTAGCATGTGACAGACACAGTTAAGCAATCCCACAATTCACACAGAAGATCCAAGCTCAGCAATCCTGACACACCCGTCGAGAATGATGGTAGACAATTAAAAAAAACTCACTGGAGGAGGAGGTTCCACAAATATCCTCAACCTCAATGATAGAGGAGTCTAGCACATCAGTGAAGCATTTAGAACCATCTTCAGTCAGATGTTCTGAATGAATCATCCATCTCTGCCTTCTCTTAGATCCACAACATCACAAATGCCATACTTCAGCTAACTGGGTTCATGGCAAGCAATCTCTATAAACAGCCCAAGACAGTGGATACTGTGAAGGTTATGCGTCCTGACAACTTTCCAACATAAGTACTGAAGCCTTTTGCTCCAGAACCAGTTGTAGCCCTAGACAAGCTGTTCTAATACAGCAATAAGACTGACATCCACCTGGAAATTTGGAAAATTACCCAGGTATGCCCTATACACAAGAAGCAAGCTAAATCCCATCTAGTGATTAGCAAAGCGATAGAAGTTGGCAGTGCTATCAAGCAATATTTGCAAAGGGATAACCTGTTCAGTGACACTCAGTTTGGGTTCTGCCGGTCACTCAGCTCCTGACCTAGGCATTGACAAAAAAAAGTGTTGAACTCCAGAGACAAGGTGAAAGCAATTCTCCCTTTCTACCATCCTCATATGCAGAGAGTTCCAAATCTTATTATTATATTTAAAAAGTTCTCCCACTCAATCCCCCCAGGCATCACTTGCTTAAAACCCCAAATCTGTGACCATCCATCCTTTTACAATCATCTCATGGAAAGGATATTTTCTAGTATAATGATTACACATACATTAATAACATGACGTGCAAGATGAAGTTGCACATGAGCAGTCAAATGCTGTACAGAAACAGGGTGAGTGGGTAGACATCACAAAAAGTGAGGGGTAAAGAGAGACACAGGCAGGCAGAGACACAGGCAGGCAGAGACACAGGCAGGCAGAGACACAGGCAGGCAGAGACACAGGCAGGCAGAGACACAG